AGCGTTACGCTGGGGCGCGGCGCCTTCTGGGGTGGAGGGGAGGAAGGGGGGTGGGGAGGCGGTTATTGCTTGGAGGGAGAGTCCCCCTCCCTACAGGAAGCCACGCCCACATGTCGTGGGCGAGAAAATGGCCGTGGATCCTGTTCGTCACCCGATCCGGCGTTCGCGAACAGAAGCAAAATTTTGCAAATAGAGCTATTCGTGACCCGAATTGGTCATGAACAGAAGCGTTCATGACCCGAGGTACCACTGTATAGAGAATTTGACTGAAAGATGAAGCATATACCAGCATATAAGCAAACATGAGAGAGTGATCTCGCCTGGAAGTCCCTTCTAAGGCTTTTAAAAAGACTACATACCATGGAGGAACCCTTCCCAGGAGGAATAGCAGAAGTTTTGGCATGATGAGATTTTCCTCCCTCCAAATTTTGCCTTCTTGTGGGAACGGAGGCAGGAAGACATGAGTCACCTCCAGTTCTTAGGAGACAATAGAGCTGTTCTCCTCCTCACTTTTTGTAGAGTTAAACAGTTAGTACCTCAGTTCACTTTGGAGTTTTGCATGCCTAGTTCTTCCTGCATCACTGATTTCAGCAATGCAGGAAGCAAGCAACATTAAAATGGATTTAGCTTTACCCACTGGTCTAGTCAATCAAAAACTAGCTCCAAAGGAGAATCTGCAGCTTGCCTGTCACAGTCATTGAAAGAAGGCTCACCACTGACATTTTCTGTCTAACTATGGTTGTTTTCATACACACACTGAAATACTAATTAGCCTTCACTTTCTAATAAACTAGATCTGTGGAATCTGTTTGGCCCATGATCTCTGTTTATATCACAGACAGCTACAGAGAGTACACTTACCATGGGCTGTGATCCATAGACATGAATTACTAAATCAATTTTTTTTCCTGAAAGATAGGAGCTGGCCCACTATCACCTAACATGGCTGAATGGCCATTTGAATCTGTCCATAATCACACAACAAAACTCTAACCTAAGAACAGGCAAACTGATATTCTCTATAAGTTCTGAACTATAGCTCCATGCTACCTTGCTGTGTCTGAACTGATGGGAGTTATGCCTCACTTGTCTGGATGGTGCCAGGTTACCTATGCATCTTTTAGCCACCGAACCACCTTGGCAGGTGGATGGGACTAAAGGAAACCATCCTTGCAGTTCTATCCATTTGCATGCCCCGTCTCAGCTTCTCCATCCTTTGTGACACCAGCTTCCTTAAAATTACGAGCTTCACCATTCTATCTTTTGCTCCTTTTCTCTATTTTGGTCTGTACTTTACAGACACACAGCTGATAGGCATATGAACAAAAGTCTGGGGGAGATGGGCAGCATATAAAGTTAATTAATTAATTAATTAATTAATTAATTAATCATCACCTCCAGCACCTTTGGGATCAATATATGTAGTATTTTGGAAAAGTTCTTTGTAGAAAGTGGAATCTATAAATGATTAACTAAAAATGTCAATCACATTATACTTCATCTGGCATCTACAAAATGAGTGAGAGCTCATCCTGGAGAAATAACTAGTCTTTTTCTTTGCTTTCCTTAGATATCTTCTATTGGCTCTGCAAGGAACTTTCAAAATATCTTGCATCTTGAAAGCACAACAACTGGAGAAGCTGCCAAAAGCACAACAGCACTGGGAAATACAGAAATGGAAGCTGACAGAACAAAGCACAGCAATCCACAGTAATGCCCCCAGCCAATTCAGTGGAAACTTTTGTGATAATGCAGCACTTGGGCTTCCTGAGCACAGTGTTCTTCAGGGCCTCTGCCCTCTGCAAAAAGAAATGCTCGGAGAGCATTTGACTTCGAATGAGGAAGCCAAGGATGAGGCCAAAAGGTGCGTCCAGGAAGAGGTCGGGCAACTTACAGCTGTGGAGCCATTTCCTGGCCATCTCCCCCACGATGCTGAAAGTTCTGCTCAGCAAAGCCATCGGAGGTCTGTGAGTGCAGTGACTTTGTGAAGGAGGCAGAGCTTTCAAGGGGGAAAAGTAAAATTGGAATGCCTTCCAAACACCTGCAGCCACATTCTCCATGAATAAAGTCAGTAGAGGGAAAATAGAATTCCTTTTTTATGTTAAATAGCAGCAGTGTCTGGATGGAGAGGCCTAAAATAAAATTTCACCAGCATACTGGGAAATTGTGTTTTGATTGTACAGTGTAAGATATCTTGGATGAATATAGCTGTATATTAATTATGAAAAGAAAAGGGCTCAAACAGCTTGAAGGACTATTGCACAAGATTTCCTTCATGGGGTTTGAAAACAGACAATATGTGTGGGGAAGGGCTGTTTCTTTTTTCCAATGAGTTACTTCTGAATCTGATCTTAATCATGCCACATTTCTGCCCTGCTGATGAATAGGAGCTACATAGCTTCACACTACAATATCTTAAAATAAAATGATCGTGTTTAAAGACATAAAGAAGTAAGCTAATAATCTAGATATTTTGTGAGTGGGGATCCAAAACTGTTCTAAGATTTTTTTAAAAAAAGAAATCTGAAATATACTGTATGTATATATGTAATATATGTCGCATATATGTATATGTAAAAAACTGCACATGCCAGGTTGTACTTTATTGATCAGATAGTTGTTTAATTGTTTTATGTAACTAGCAACCTTGTGATCTAATCCCATATTTGGATGTAATATTTGTTGATTTCTGAGGAATTAGCATCCAAGAAGATATATTTTTAAGATCTTTATCTTTACTTTGAATGGGATGCCAAGTGATTTTATTATATGGTTGTCTTTATATTTATGTATCAGTTTTCCCAGTGGATCTTGAGGTGACATACATTTTTCCTATCCCATTTTAGAAACCACTGTGTTAGGTAGTTAGGCTGAGAAATAGTGCCTAATCAAGGAACTACCAGCTCAGTCAGACAATCAAGCAGTAAACAACAGCTTAATCAAGGAACTACCAAGGAGAAAACAACACCCCCGCCAACACTGACAGGGCAAGCTACTGGATATAAACAAGGAACAAACCCCACTCCCTTCTAGCACTGCAGATGTTACCTAGCTGGGTAACGAAACATCTGCAAGAAAACAACCAAGCTCAGAAAACCCCAAGGACTCCGTAGTGACTAATCTAATGTCATCCAGTAATATCCACTCTGGTGGCAGGACAGTGTGAACCCAGGTGTCCCAGTCCTAGTCCGGCAGCAGAAGTGAGGGGCAGGTTTAAGTGCAGCAGCTCATTGCACAGGTTGCCTGATTCCACCCTCAGCTATGGGCTGAACGAGGCGAGGAAGGGAGGCGGACCATAAATCAGGGTCTGGAAAGTAAATCCTACGAAGAGAGAGTGAAAGAAGGAACCAAGCATGAGAAGGCTGAAATGGATATAATAGCATTGTTCTAACAGCTAAAAGAATGTCAAAGCAAAGGAAGTCCAGACCTGTTCTCTATCACCTGGCATTATGAATTTAAGGTATGAGAAGGCAGTTTCTGATTGAATGTGACAGGAAAAAAAACTTCCTAACAGAAAGAACATTTCAGTAGTGGAAACAATGAGGAGGAGGAGGAGGAGGAGGAGGAGGA